CCTTTGTGCTTGAATGTGCTTAAAAATGAGAAGAAATTTTAGAAGAAAAATTATTTTTATGGGATGGCTGCGGACCCAAAAATACGTTTTTAATTTCCCTATTTTAAACTTCAGGATTATAAGTTTATAATCCCGGCAATTTTCTGGAGGTTGTTACTTAATTGCTGATCTTCGACCGTGGTAGGGACGTCTGCTCCTATTTAGCCCCCCTAACGGCTTACATTAAATTGAGATATGCTAATTATGAGCAGAGAACCACTCTAAGGTTAAGGTCAACTAGCACTATAAATACGCTCAAATGGAAGAACCTAGAGCCTAAGGTAGTCCCGGCCGCTTGGTCGGTAACTAGCTTCCAGGACTGCACACGCACGTCATGATCAGGCTTGCTCGCTCGCACATGTCAGCAGCGAGGACGTCTTTGGCCACGAAACGACGCAGAGTCGAGGACAGATGATGGGCAGCAGGAAGAGACGTGAATTCATTGCAGTGTCTTGTGCATGGAAAGAAAACATGGAAGAGGAATGCGGGTGTAAGAATACGTGTCAAGTTAAAAGAAGAGAATGGACTGGTCGGGAAAATTGCACAGAGTAGACAACAGCTGTCATCATCGGGTGAATGTGGTGGGGAAGCACTTTCTGATGGCGCAGCAGATAGCAGATATGTAGACAGTAGTAGTCATGTGATTGTGGTTGTGTGTCATGGGGGCACGCTCAGCAGCTTGTGACGCGTCGGTGCAGTAGCAGTTGCCTTCGCCTCACGTCATTGCATCTATTTCCAGCCACTTTCACTCTCATTGCATGGGCAGCGTCTCGATTGCAACGTCTCGCCTGCACACTGAGGTCCTACTCACCGACTTCACGTTCCTGACTCATCAAATATTGTCACCCTGGACAAATTTTCACGATCAGTTTTTTCTTCCCCTTTTCACTTTTGTTTGTATAGTAACGTAGACACTTGCTGACTGACGCATAGTACCTGCTCTCAGCTCTTTACTTACAGCTTCCTGATGTTTCTTATCTCACATTCCTTTATGTTTGCCCATCAGTCCTTGTTAGTCCTAGTCCATGGTACTCTTTCAAGTGTATAAATGCCTTGATATATCTTGCGCCTTGTCGAAAGCTTTGATGAGGACAGGCAAAGTGAATTTGGCTCCATAGGCAGTTGATGGATGATAATTCATGTGAGATTGGGCTAGCCAACATTGTCGCATCTTGTGAAAATGAGTGAGCTCCATCGCGGCATGATCAAGAGGGTCTCGTCAGGGTCTATAGGGTATTCTCGCTAGTCAGTTGACAGTGTTCATCGGTGGAGGAGGACAAGCCACAGGCCATTTGTGGGTGGGGGCGGGCATACCCCACCACCAAGGAGATTAGTGTTACGCAGAATGCAGCTTTGGTGTAGCTGTAGTGTACGTGATTGTAAAAGTGACAAATGTAGCAAATGCAGCAATTTGCAGCATGCTGACAGCTGATAGTTTTTTGCCCCTTTAATCATTTTGTTTTGGTTGATTACCTTGGCCCACAAATGCCATTCCACATACCACACATATAAAATAAGTTGGACTTTTAATTTAGAGGATTTTTATTTTTCGATGCCCTCTCAGAATGAGAAAAAGAGCATTATTTATAATCCCATAGGTTATTTTTTTGCTATTTCAAGTACAAAGGTAGGTGCTTTATCAATTTAACAGTTCAAGTATAAATATAATCAACTTATTAATTTTTTGGAGCATTAAGCCATACACATGTAAG